AGTGTTTGCGTAGATGTGATTGGCCCCACTGAAACAAATCCGGTTAACCTGGTGCAAGCCGAGTCTGCACTGGGAGATGCAGTGTAGACGAAGCCTCCGGTGTCTCCTTTTCACTCCCTTCCCCCTCTACGTAGGTGTGCACGCCCACACCCACCATTCGAGGGAGAGCAAAGGCTCTGGGCTGGGCTTGCTCAGGCACGAAGGAAGCTCAGGCAGGAATGAGTTCCAAATGAAAAACAAACCGTGCCAGGCTGCGCCTCCCCAAGCTCGGGGGAGGCGCTTGGCTCACAGCTGCAATAACTAAGGCCTTTTATGCCAGGCGCCTCCTGGAAACTAACCCCAAAACCTCTCTGAAAATAGCCCAGGCTGTTTTATTTTGGAAGGACGGGAGGCGTGGCGGCAGAGGATGGGTGACTCCGCTAGAAAAGCTTCCCAGAGCAACCCGTGAGCTCACGCCACAGGGAACGTCCTTGCGCTGTCCAGGACGTCGCGGAGTGGATGGGGAGAAGGCCCACCCAGCTTCGTAATGCATTCAGTGCCATCGCCTCTCGACGGGAGCGACCGGCCCTGCTTCCGAATCAGCCGAGCGAACCAGACGCAGGGCAGGGTGCCCACGCTCGCCGGCCCAGCTACCGCAAACTGTGCTCCCTCCAGCCACTGCCGGATCAGTGGAAAACGGATCCCGAACCAGGGGACCAGTCACCCCCTCCAGACCCTGGTCTTCCCCCAACATCCCAACTTTTCATAGGTCTGTATGCTCCATGAGGTCTTCCACTTTTCTTCCCCCGCCCTCCGACGTCAGGAAAGCAAACTCCTCCCTACCCACAGAATTTTTCTGAAATGACACCCGTCCCTAACCCTGCAGATCCCAGCACAGGTCTCCTAAGGCTGGGGGATGGGGGTGCACAAGCCTTAGGGAGCACCTGCTATTCTAAACGCCACGGGCACGGCATGGCACGTTGCTTGCCTTTTTAACATAACAAATAAAAAAGCTCTAGATTGCATCCAGGAGCACAGGGGTCAGGTGGACAAAGGCGTGCTCAGACCAGGACCTGCTCGAGCAAGTCACTTCACCGCTCTGTGCCTCTCACGGTCCATCCCAGCTGTTTAAAAGCTCTGGGGCAGGGAGTGTGTTGTGTTTCTACAGTGCGTAACACAGTGGGGCGGCTAGGTGCTACCGTGCCGTAGGGGGCCAGGCATGCCAGCACTGGCTGAGCTCGTGAGGCCCTATGCGCCACTCAACAACAGATGTTGTACACCGCGTCTGATCAGTGCCCAGATTTTGGGGAACGTGCTCGGTGTCAATGGGCAAAATTGGAAAAACACGGAAAGCAGGTAATGGAGGGCACACGGGGGCCCTGCCATCTGTCCAACAGAGCCACAGCTTCAAGCACCTGTCTGTAGATCAGAGAACGAGTTATCGGCACCCCTTAACTGCTTCCAGCAGAACAAGGGCCCCATCCCATTTCTGCCCATCCTCACAACATTGATCGGCCCAATGGGGGAGGGATAGCTCAGTGGTTTGAGCACTGCCTGCTAAACCCAGGGGTTGTGAGCTCAATCCTTGAGGGGGGCATTTAGGGATCTGGGGCAAAAAATCTGTCTGGGGATTGGTCCTACTTTGAGCAGGGGGTTGGACTAGATACCCTGAATGGGATTAGAATCCTAGACTATCAGGGTTGGAAGGGACCTCAGGAGGTGGTATCTCCCAGGCAGACAGAGAAAGAATGGTGGGGGATGGGGGGCACACAGAGCCCCTGGCCGCACTGAGGTGCGAATGCAGGGCATTGGTATGAGGTGAGATTGAGGGCACTAAGAACCCAAGGGGGTAGATTGAGGGACCCTGGCATGAGGGAAGGGCTGGGGGTTGCAGAGAGCCCCTGAAACAGAGGGAGATGGAAGGGCGGCACGCAGGGAGGGATGCAAGGAGCCCAGCCAACAGTAGCAACACGGTGTTACCCCTCGTTTAGGGAACAGAAGACCCCTAGGCAGGAAGTTACAGATTAGGGGAGCATGTTGGGATTGTGGGGAAGGGCCACCTGAATCAGCCGCACCTTCAGTTTGCTCGGGCGCTGCAGCGGCCTGCGTCAGGTTGGGGCCCTGCTGTGAGAGGCACTGCACCAGCAGGCTGTGACAGTCCATGGGCTGGTGCAGTCTAGGAGACTCCAGAGCTCATCAGGGTGGGAGAGAAGTACCCGGCTAACATCAGCCAAGAGAGGCTGGCTTCACCATGCACACTGAAGTCCCGCTCCCCACCCCACAGACCGAAACGCTGTGACTGTTCTGGCAGTGTTCAGGGCATTCCCTCTGTGAAACCAGCACTGCTGCACCTGCACCAGTGGGAGTCAGCATTAACACCACCGCCACCTTCCCGAACGCTGCCTGGAGCAAGGCGGAGAAGCAAAGCGGGGGTAGCTTGTACTCATCACTGGGAAGTTAGTATCCACTCCATCTCTGGAGCTTGTGTTCCTCGAGCCATGCTAAAGAGCAGAGGGCAGGAATCTCAGAGCTGGCCTTGGCACTACATTTGATGAGCCGTTTAGGTCTCCGAGTGTGCCTACACTGGGGAGAGCTTGGAAATGGCTTATCCTGCACTGGGGCACCTCCATCAGACTTGCAAATGAGGGGGTGCTGGTGGGTTGCAAGACAGCAGAAGATTGTGGCCCATGAACACTCCTGAGGAGCTCATTAATAGAGCATTAAGAAGTAATTGTGACAGCAATTACTATAGGCTAGGGAGTTTGGGGCCTTTACCCAAGAGACTGGAAATTCTTTGGGTTTTGTTAGTTACTTTGCTCATCTGACAGCAAGTTGCGCCTTCTCTATGTTAGTATAGCCAGTCACGCCCCCACACCACTCCCCAATTTGTGTAGGTCTTTAACACAATAGGGGAAGGTGCAGACTTTAAAGATAAGGAAAAACATGTTTTAAGGCTGTTTGCCCAATGCTAGCTAGTACAATGGAGCCTTGATCCTGACTGGGCCTCTAGGCACTACTTAATACAAGTAGTAACTTAAGTTAGCAAGAGGACACAGCAGTAGGTTTAGGAGCTAAAACTCCTCTTTGAAATTGGAGTACATTTTAACGTAGTGTCCATTTAAAAAAAAGAAAAGGGTGGGGGAAGCCAGATAATCTCCTTTCCTGCAAAGAGACCAGGCTAATAAAATAAACCTTACTCACTCCTGGGTTTTAACAATCTACAGTGTCATTTGTTCTATAGGACATTTTAGAAGTGTTGGTTTTAAACCTGACTGTGTCCCTTTCAATGGTGTTTGGCCCACACGAAATCCCATGATTCATGGAGCTGACTAGGAAACTTTACCATACTTTACAGTAAGTGACAAGTCATAATTCCTTTGGCATTCAGCAATGCAACAACATTAGTCATGTTGCGAGCCCCTGATATTAATGCAGCTGCAATATGCTGTTCCTCTGGCATTGTAATTGTAGCTTTGTATGAAGGGCCGACTTCACTGGAAATCGGGGGCACAGTCATAGTTTTGCTCCAGGGAGTGAGGAGACTAAGGTCTAAAGTTTCCAAGGCATCTTGGTTCTCCAGCGTGAGAAGTTCGTTAGGTTTCAGGCCATCAAAACCGCATCTCCTAGTGCAACCTGATTTGTGAAGTCTGGGGGTCCCAAGCAAGGCTGATGATGTTCGGGGTAGTAACTAAGTGCTTAATAGCGCCTTCAAAAAGCCTCTGAAGTAATTGTAATTGAAGCCCGTGTAAGGAAGGGACAGAGGTCAAGTCCTGCAACTCAGAGGCCCTTGGGAGCTCAGATGCCGGCGTCGTAAATTATGAGATGTCCCAAGCAAAGAGGGCGAAACAGAGGCCAAGTCACAGTGCTCAGTGGCAGAGTGACCCCACTTATAAGGGTCAATCAAGTAACTGCAGGCACCAATTAGCCCCCCCAACCTTCCCCATCCTCAGTGTAGTCAGATGCCATCTCCTTGGACAAAAAAGCGACTGTATAGAAGCCACAATCGCATGCTTAGAAAAGCTATTCCAGGCAGGACTAATCAGACATCCTGATCCCCAAGTCCAAGAGGAATCTTTAGGCCAAACACGTCAGACTGAGAGACCCACAACATCAAGAGTAAATATAGGGCAATGCAATCAATAGCTGCATTGTCACCTCTCTAGACTCCAACACCCTACGTTTCAGGGGCAGGATGGCCTGGAGCCCTGTCTGAACTAAAGGGCAAACCCATCGCTGGCACTGGTCCAGATCTGAAATCCTATCCGCACAGGCAGAGCCCTGCGCCCACCAGCAGGATCAGGGCCCAATGGGTCCCCCTTGAATCAGTGCTGAACATGGTTTAACAGCTCATGTGGCCAGGACAAAACTTCTCCTCCTCATCCTTAGAGAGAGAGCTCTGTTCCCCTTCCCTCCCCCTGCCCACAGACCCAGCAGAAGCCCCGGCCCCGAGAGGGTTGTTCTCCTGAAGCAAATCACCTAGTCCTGCAGCCAACACAAACATCCACCACACAAGACAAGCCTTTCAGGGGGAGGCAGACAGGCGGACACCTTATTTCCCCATTCCCCGCCCCCCTTAAGAGAGAGGCTGCTCCCAGCTCTGCAAAGGAGGAGAGAGAGAGACCCAGAATTGCAACGTGGAACTTAAAAAAAAAAAAGTTTTAAGGCATTAAAACATGATCCCCTTGTAGGGAGGGAAACGAAACCCAGATTGAGGGGATCCCCCACGGGCTGTGGGGGGTGCTGTTTAGGAGGGGGGGGGTTCCTCGCCATTATTTAATAAAGGAGTGGGGCAGATCAAAGTTTGGGAACTCTCATAACACAGATATTGTCCCCATCGTGCTAGTTACGCCGGGGGGGGGGGGGGGGGGGTTACCTCCAGCGAGACTCGGCTCCTTCTTTACACACCCCTCCGGCGCGCCGGGGGGAAAGACGCTGGCAGAGCTGATCCGCCCCCCCTTGAAACTGACTCTGGCTCCTGGACCTCGACCAGCCCCAGCCCAGGGGGGGCCACAACCCCTTACCTGAGATATAGTGGCGCCGGCTCTCGTCCAGGTGAGTGGAGATAACATCGCCCATGGCGGACGGGGGCTGGATGCTCGCAGGGGAGATCCCAGCGGGGGGGGGGGGCAGCTCCCCCCCCAGGGAGGTTTGCAATTCAAAGGGGGGGACTCCGGGGGGGGTGTCTCCTTCCTCCGGGCCGGGCCGCAGCGGCGGGTCTGCTCCCAGTCCGAACCAGCCGCTCTCCTCCCAGCCGAGGGAAGCCCTGGGCGGGTCGCAGACACTCCCTGCCTACGTCCAGCCTCCGCCCCGGGAGGGACACACCCTCCGCGCGGCTCCCCGCCTGCCTGCGAGCGGGGGCTGTTCAAACTCCCCTCCCCCGGTCCGGGTCCCCCCCGCGGGGGGGCCGTTCCCCCCCCGGCAAGAGCGGGGGAACCCCACAGAAAAAAGCTTTTATCCCCGCCCCCCCCTGTAATTATTGCACCGGCCTGTGCTACAAACCAGCCCCCCTGCACCCCAGCCCACGCGTGGCCGCTAGGCACTCCCGGGCTCCAGAGCGGGACCCAGGGATCAGGCCTTTGTCGCAGACGCTGATTCCCCCTGCAGCTAGAAAAGGGCTTTTCTCTCACGCCTAGTGCCCCGGGCCTGGGCTCCCCCCAATCTGAACTACTTGAGGTGCCTTCCTGCTCCAGGGACTGGGTCTAACTCTGGCAGCCGGTGAAACCGGCTCCTTGTGGGCACCTGGCTTGGTTTCATTCTGACCTTGCTTCACAGGGGATTGCAACATTTACCCAGCCCTTTCTACCCCTCTGACCACGCCCAAGTCACCATAAACCACGGCCTTGATCCTTCTCCACTGCCAAGGTGTGTCTCGCCCGTGGGTGGGGAGGACAGGACACGGGACCTGAACATACCCGTCGGACGAGGGTTTTCTTTGCCCCCTTACCCCACTGTCTCTAGCCTGTCTGATCCTCTGCTGCTTGTCACGGTACAGCAAGCCGGGGACTTACAGCAAGGTTCGGGGCAAACTGTGCAAAATAAAACCTCTCTTCGGACGTGGATGCTCAGGACAGGAAGCGGCTTGAGAGCCCTGGAGAAGGGGGTCCCCCACCCACAAAGCAGACACAGCAGGGGCAGTGACGGTGCAAGCTTCATCGCCCGCCTCCCAGCGCATGCAGCTCCCCTTGGAGCCAGAGGCAGCCTCTGTAGGGGCCCGAGGGTTGGTGTGGTCGGACTGGGGAAATTGGTGTCATGAGACTCGTGCAAACCCTCCAATGCAGACACGCTGCCCTGGGCTAGCCCGTCTGCACTGGGAATCCGCACGGGGCTTATTTCATTGGGGCAACCCTCGCCCTCTACAGCTCTACGCAGGGCCTCAGTTACAGTCCATGGCCTCTTTGCTCAGGCTGCCTAACAGGGCTGTCAGTTGGGGTGGGGGCGGAGGGGCTCTTAAGGGAGCTGGGTGCCCAGGGCCTGCCCACGGATGGCAGTGGGGCTGGACAGAAAAGCTCCTCCTCCCTCTGCCAGACCTGAAGTGGAGAGGCCAGATTTTGCCTTAGGCTGCAGTCTCATTCAGGTGGAAACAGCCCTCACTGTATTCCCTTCTTGCAAGAAGATGGAGCTGACACAATGGCCATGTGCTATCCCTCCCCCATGGCCCTTGGCACCGAGAACAGCAGGGGCCATGCCCAGGGGAGGAGGGAGAGGTGTGGCCAGGGAGCTCTGTGCCTTGGCTGCTGGAAAGCCCTGTGGGGAGCCATTGCTTGGTGGCAGCCATAAGGCAGAGCAACCCATGAGGCTGCTCTAGCTAGTTCAGGGAACTGCTCCGCTCCTCCAGACTGCAGGACGCGTCACACACAGATCTTAGCCTCCCTGGGCTGGGTTCAGCTTGACCGATGCCCAGACTTAGGGCCCGGGGCTCGGATCCCCACAGGGTTTAGGTTCCTACATCCAATTTAAATTAATGGGTGTTAGGATTTGGGCCAGGGTGTCTTAGTGTATATGAGAGAGAGTGAGTCTGAACGGCTCAAGGACAGTGTCGTGAGGCCTGAATCTTTTCCAGGGGGTACTGCTTGCCTCCCAAGGCAAGGGGGCGGGGGGTGTCCTGTGGCCTGCGTCATGACTGCTCTGTGGACAGAGCGTCCTGTTTATCCCATCTGAAATAGTTTTTCTTGGCATACTGAGCTCAGAAAAATTCCTCAGGAGTCTGCCAGCCTCGGGAGGGCGGGGGGGGGGGGAGCCACCTTGCTGCTAACACCTCTCTGCTTTGGGAACAGGGCGGCCCAAACCCATGTGTCCTCACAGCCTGGGTGGGGGTAAACAGCACCTGCCCAAAACACGCACGCACGCACACACACACGTTACGCAATGCAGGCCTGCTCATCCCATGCTAAAACACGCCGCACTGGGCGGGGAGGGCGAACCCCTGCAAGAGGACAGAGCCGGGCAGTCTGCTACTTCTGGGAGACCTACTGGTTTGGTCTGGGAGATCTGCTGCCTCCGCTGGCTTCAGAACCCTCATCCTGACACAAGGCTGGGTGCTTTCTGCACGGGGATTCAGTCTGGACCCTGTACCCTGCCCCCACCCCTTCGGAGCCATTGGCCCTGTTTGAAATAACATAGCTGAGTACACAGAAGGGGGGAGGGCCCCCCCTTGCTAAATATTTACCATCCCTCCAGAGAACTGGTAATAGAGGTGTGACGCCACACCCGTCCGGGCGAGGGTCACTGCCAGAGAGGACCCAACCTCTGGATCTTAATGCATGATCCCAGTGACAGAGGGGCAATCGCTGAGGGGCACCGACCACTTGCAACCACACCCTCCGCCCTGGCACTGTAGCACTAATCCTGCCCGGTTCAGAGGGGAGATTCGGGGGGGAGGGGGAAGGTGGGGAGCAAGCCCAGCTGCCCACCCCACACTCACGCAGCAGAGGCGGCTCCTGTCCCATGGGGCTTTTCATGGGGTGTCAGAGCCACTCAGGTGTGGCCCTGGAGATAGTGAGTGAGTGGCATGGTGACCAATGTCACAACTCCCAGAGTAGGGAGGCAGGCCCGGCCCTGCGGGACAGGAGCCCCACACATACACCTCAAGGTCGCTGCGGGGAGCAGTTCTCTCCCCTCCCCCATCCCTTATCGGCTCTACTGCTGCATGAGCCTCTGTGGATTGAGCTAAAAGACTCAGCTCTGCTGGCCAAAGCTGTGGCAAGCTCATCGACCGCTCTGTGGCCCAGCCACCACTAGAGGGGGACAGGGAGCCGGCCCTAGTGGGCGTGGCTTAGAGATGCCAAAGATTCCACCCGCCAAGTCACCAGGTCAAATCGCAGCATGTTCAGCGATGCCCGGCCGCTGTAGCCGTCTGGCAGCTGGGTGCTGGCCTGTCTGAAAGGGGTTAGTGGCCAAGGTACCTCAAAATTCAGCCTCACACTCGCCACTAAACGACTGTCTTCATGATCAGGCGCAGCCAGGGCTGAAAGTAACTTAAGGGACTTACCGGTATGCAGGGTGACTGGGGTCCTGAGCAAGGTGGGGGGCGGCTCAAACAGAAGGGGCGGGGCCCTGGGCGGAAGAGGTGGGGCTGGGGTCAGACTCCCCCAGCCAGCCCTTCAGCGTGGCCCACCGGCGATTTAAGGGGCTCAGGGCTCCTGGCTGCTGCTACCGCTATGCCGGGGCTCCAGCGGCAATTTAAAAGGCCTGGCGTGGTAGTGGCAGCTGGGAGCCCCTGGCCCTTTAAATTACCGCCGGAGCCCCATGGTAGTGGCGGCGGTGGCCAGGAGCCCTGGCGGCGATTTAAAGGGCCGGGGCTCCAGCTGCTACCAGGAGCCCTGGTCCCTTTTAAATTGCTGGGCCCCACGGAAGCTGCCCCCTTCTGGTACAGTCGGCTGTGTACCGGCTCTTACCGGTACGCCGTACTGTACCGGCTTACTTTCACCTCTGGGCTCAGCAGAGAGGCCAGTGGGCGAATGGGCCATGGAAACAGAGTCTCGTTCTCACGCGAGAGCTTGTCTCTGGGTGGGATGGATGGAGTTAGCGGTGCCACACTGGTGCGGGACTTCAGACTCCCCCACCATCAAGCCCACGCTTTCCACCAGCCGTAGCATGAAGTCGCAGCCCCAGAGCAAGGACTGACATGTTGCTCGCATTAGCCGGGCAGACTCAGCTTGGTCCCCACCAGCACTTAGCAGCACTTCTTTATTCCTCGTGGAATGGATGTGCGTGGACAGGTCAGCTGTAGGGACTGAACTCAGGATCCCAAAGCAGGAGCCAGGACTACTTGAGGTAAAGACCCTGGCCCACTAGCAGATGTATTAATCTCTATAGGTGGTCTAGCCACTAGAAGGCGACACCGAGCCATACCGTGTTAGCCTCTTTCTGGCCCTTCTTTAGTGATGGCTGTTAGATGCCAACCCCCCAGGCTGCATGTGCAGGTCATGTTTCCAAATCGAGCAGACTCTCTCTGCAGCGCATGGTCACTGACTCAGCTGGCACTTACGTGCTGCTGATGACTCAGGATCACATTGGAGTGAAGTGCCTCTGGCATTGTCCGAGTGCCCCCCTGCCGTCCCCCAGCCATGCTCCTCCTGACACAAGGTTGCAAAGAACAGAATTTCCAGCGGAGCTCTTTTGAAAGTCTGGTTCTGATTCTGGTGGATGCTGTGGGGGAGCTAGAGTTGCGATTTGGGGGGAAATCCCGTGATTGCAAATTTTGTTTGGGCTGAATCGGAATGCAAACAAAAGATTTAGAAATTTCCTACGCAACAAAATTTCCCAAAAGCCCTTAATTTTGGGTCAAGCAAAAGGTGTTTTATATATATTATATAAAATCAAAACATGTTGTTTCAGTTTTTACATTTTAAAAGTTTTTATGATATAAAAGAATTTGCAAAAATGAAAAGTCACCCCAAAAAAACAACCAAAACCAAAAAGCTCCATTCCAAAAAATGTCCAAGTGGAACATTCGTCCTTGTCAAAATGGTTGTTTTCCATTTTTTCCCCCCGAAACAATTTAAAAAAAAAAAAAAATCAGCATGTTCTCGTGGGATGTTTCAGTTTTCAGGAAACAGCATTTTCTGATGGAAAAATGTTCCATCAGAACATTTTCAACCAGCTATTGTCTAGCACTCAGTCCTTAGAAATCTGACCATGGGTTCTTATGAAAATCTCATCACAAATGACTAAGAATTTGCTTACAACTGCATATGGAGCAATCACAATTCATGTCTGGGTCACCGCGGTCAGTGCATTATTTTGAAGCTTTTGCACCACCCGTGG